GGTTTTAGGGTTTAGGGTTGGTTTGGCAGAGAGGGCCTACCCAGAGAACCTTTACTTTAAGGAATAGACCTTGAGTCATAATGTTAAGGCCTGCATGATTTCAGGTGTATTTCCTTTAATTGAGGACTATTCGGTTCTTTGGGTACAGGGTTGGGGTAAGGGCTTACGGGGTTTAGGGTGGGTTTAGGCGGTTTAGGTTTGGAGCTCTAAGTTGGGTCCACACCTTTCAGGGTGTAGGGTTTAAGCTAGGCTCGCAGAGGACTCATGTTGCAGCATTCGGCTTCGCGAGTTTGAGAGCCGGAGCCCTAAACCGAAGCCCTGAACACAGCCCAAAACTCGGATGCTGAGGTCTGCAAGATTCTCAGAGGTTTAGGGGTGTCAGGGTTTAGGGTTTAGAGGCTTTAAGGTTTAGGGTTTAAGGACCGCAGAGCCTGACCGGAAGTGGAGCACCGAGGCAGAAGCACGCGATTTTCGACGAGGAGACCTGCAGCAAGGTGGAGGCCATCTCCTCCAGCGCTTGAGACAAGGGCTGCTGTAGATGAGGCTTCTTGTTGGTGCCCTTGTTTAGTGTTTACACGCCAAAACAGGTGCCTTGTGGTTTTCGAAACATGAGAGAGCTGAGGGGAAAAGTACTATCGTGCCAACTTTAAGCTGTACTACACCTTTGAAGGCAGGTTAATCACCCTGCGCCCAAAATGAGTGGGAGCTGCTAACCCCAGAACGGTGGTTGTGTGTTTTCTTATGTTTGTTGTATGCGTATGTGTATGTGCTATGCTATGTTATGTTAGGTGATGTTATGTTATATTAAGTATCGTCGTGTTATGTATTGTGTGTTATGATATGATATGTTTTGTTGGGTTGGCATGTTGTGTCGTGCTGTTTTGCCGTATCATACCATGTTATGATGAGCAGTGTAGTATGTTATGTTTCTTTGTGCCATATTACGATGTCATGTCAATTTTGAGCACATCATACTATGATAGAACACTTCACATTATATGACACTAAATTATATTGTATGATGCTACACTATAGTACATTGTATTATGTCATATTGTCTTACATTCGACTATAGTACGGTATAGTATAGTATGGTACAGTATAGTACAGCCTAGTACAGTACATTACGGTGTAGTAGAGTAGTGTAAAGTAGAGTTCACTTGAGAGCAGAGTAGAGTAGGGTATAGTATACTACGTTGTATGATGTCATATTCTTTTATACTACATTACCTTATACTCTATTATGGTATATCATGTTTTCACGTTTCCATACGGTTTTGTAGGTTCTGTTATATTGTATTGTATTGCTTTTGATTTTGACATATTAGACTCTGTTCTATTCTATTCTATTCTATTCTCTATTCTGTCTGTTCTTCTTGTCCAGGCTGTTTTATAGCCTTGTATTATCAAGTGACAAGCCGCCGAGCTTGCAGCAAACCTTGGCATTGACAGGCTAACAACATGGGTCATAATGCATGAGACAGGGCTACATGGTAGTTGCTAGGCAAGAAGTATGATGCGTCTGTCAGTAGTCTGCGACGCATCTACAGTAAAATAAGAGGAGTGCAGCGACTGGGGGCTCGACATGCAGCATACCTTCAACACTGATCCCTCAACGCGTAACCTGTGTAGGTGATCTTAGACCCGTCCGTACCTACAAAACCATTTGGGTATACGCTATTGATGTCACGATCTAGCCTCGATGTCATCCCACTCTTGTAGGCTTCGGGGTGTAATTAGAACTCTCTTGCTCTGCGTTTGCCTACAGTATTTCGGCCGCTGGTGTGTTAAAGCTCCTGAAGCATACTCGGGGAGCCATAAGGCGTCAAGCCAAGTCCTTGAATCTGAAACACTGCACATGAAATCCTTCAGCCCGTTTACATCCCCAGTCGCAGGCTTGAAAAACCTAAAGCCCTAAATCCACCAACATTTCAACCCCAAGCCTTAAATCCTTCACCCAACGCAGTATACTTATCATACAAAACAGTGCAAGTTACGTATACTATACTGTACAGTACCATATTGATTGTACTATACAGTATAAGGAAATATAACAAGTTTGAAACAATAGCGTGCAGCGTACTGTAACCTGATAAAGCATATGTATCTAGAATTTGTATATATGTGTGTATATATGTATAATATACAGTTACCTAGTTTGCTATGATAAAGTATGGCCGAGCACCAGCACTTGTGAAGGTACAGGAGACCCTGGCGACTGCCATCTTCGAGGCTCTCCAGCTGTATTGATGCGATGGTTCAGAATTGAGGATGTATTCTTCAGGTTTTGCTCAGTACCACAAGTTCTTACTGCTGCCAGCTTCACAACCACTTTGAATCTTCGTCTTCTTGCGCGACTTCCGCATGGTTGTCGATGCCCTCCTTGCCGTGGGTTGTTAGTGTCCCTGTTGGTAGTCTTTTGCTTGAACTTGTGCCATATATGCTGTGCGTGTAGTCGTCGATTTGGTGGCAGTCAAACTCACAGCCGTTGTCGAAGCAGTGGTCGTCGTCGTCGTGTTGGTAGTGATAGTGGTAGCGTTGTAGTCGTCGTGGTGGTGGTGGTTGTAGTAGTGGCAGTAGTGGTCGTAGCAGCAGTGGTAGTAGTCGCAGTTGCAGTAGCAGTCGCAGTAGTAGTTGCAATGGTTGTCCTAGTAGCAGTAGTAGTAGTAGTAGTAGTAGTAGCAGCAGCAGCAGTTGTTGTTGTTGTTGTCATTATTATTGCTGTTTTCGTCGTCGTTGTCGCAGTAATTAGTAGTAGTAGTAGTAGTAGCGGAAGCACTAGCAATAGTTACAGCAGTACCTAACTGCGCGTGTTAGTAAACTTGAGTGTGTTTTGCTACATGGGCCGCAACTGTATATCTTCGTGCCAGGCGACTATGACGGGGACTAGACATGAGGTCCGACAACAGTATAGTCTATTTTAGAAGGGGGTGTCACGTGATTTCCTTTTAACTCCTTAAAGCGGCTCTGTTCCAAACCACAAGCTAGGAGATATAGTGCTCTCGGGATCGGGGGACACTATGCGGATCAGCCGAAGAGTCAAGCTTCATGTACACATCTTAGAGATCAAGACGCTGGCATCAGCGGTAGCATCAGCAACAGTATTGTAATCCCAGCAGTGGCAGAAAAAGCCAGCAACAAAAGCCACAGCCAGCCTTCCACCAAGCCCAAGAACCCTGACTGCTGAAGGTTCTCTTCAATGGCAAGCCTTCTGCTCCTGATGGTCACGTGTCCACGTTTCGGGGTTTCTTTGAACACTGGAATGTCCGATGCTTGCTGCTGGTACATAGGTAGGTCGGTAGGTATGTGCGTATGTGTGATTATGTATGTAAGATTATGTAGGTAATCCTGCCCTGAGTGGTTTAGGTTTAGGGGTCTGCCATCCTCTTCGAACGGTACGCCCGAACTCGGAACCCCCCCACAGAGACAGTAACTAGACCCACCAAAACCTTGACAAAACAGCAAAGACCCCACACCCTGAGGCGAGACCTACCGAGAAAGTCTCATTTCTGTGCCTCGGTTGCAAGATGGCGAAGGTGGCAAGGCTCAAAACTTAGTTGCGTTTTCAAGTTTACGATCCTGACTCTGAGGACCTCTCGTTAAGGTCGCCCAAAGTTTACGAAAGCCTTATAAAGCCCTGAAAAGCCTTAAGCAGGTACAGTTAGAGTTAGAGTTCCAAGGAGAGCAGCAGGAAGTGTCGGCGCAGAAATCCATCAAATTGCGTCATGAAAACTCAAAACGCCGGCTCGCAGCTTTGACGTGGGGGTTTGGTTTCAGACTTATCGGCATAGGGATGTGTCAATTTCAGGTGGCTTCCGATGTTTTATTTCGAAGATCTTTATGCGATCTGGGCAATGTTATATTTTCCTGACACGAGAGAAAGCAGACAACTGAGCTACTGAATTCAAGCGATTCCGGCAACGAGGGATCAGAGTTCAGCGGAGTTTTCGGGTTCTGGACAGAGCAGTGAGATTCTGAAACTCAGAGCCCCTGAATATGGACCCCCAAGTACCTCCAAAACGAGACCCCGACCCCGAAGACTTTAATTAAGGAATACATACCCTAAATCTTATTAGGGTTCCTATTAATAGTTTAAGGTATAATTTCTGTTTTCTTGGCTTCACTCCCAGGAGCTGTTCAAGGCCCAAGAGCTTACCCAGCCAAAGTCGGCCGAGCCAAAGACGGCGGAGCCGAAGACGGCAGCGCCGAAGACGGCGGCGGGAAGGGGGTCCGAGGCCAGTCTTTCCTGAAGTTCGGATGAGTTCACGGAAGGAGATAAG